AAAATCAGCTCCTGCTCTCTTTAAAAATGTACTGTAAATGTATTGAATATATGCATTACTAAACCTTACTAACATTAAAAAATGTCTAGGTAAGCATATATGTCAACATATATGAAGTTTCCAGTAATATAATAATAATATATACAAATTAGCTAAAATAACTGTATTATATGCCTATCGTCTTTGTTATTTTCTCGTAAGTACAAAATTACATAGTTCTTTCCAGGACACATACTAGAAATTATTAGGCAATTACAGCCCTACACACATAAACATATAAGCAACCAAATTACATTTTGTTTGTTTGTTTTTAGCTTTTTTTTATTGTGACATTCTTTTTGGTTGAACTGCTGGCACAAGTCAAAAACAATTCAGTGGATGTGCAGTAAAATTTAGCTCAGTAGGGGGTACAAAAGATTAGGGTTAGGGTTAGGGATTGTTTGAATTTTGGAATGTGAAATGTCAAAAAATGTTAATTTTTGTAATAAGTCACACCCATTGTAGTCAATCATTTCATGCTTCGACTGAGTCATGACCCTACATCGTGCAAACCAAATTTCACACAGATCCATCCACTCCTGAACACATGTCCTGAGTTTCAGGTTGATATCTCAATGTGTTCATGAGCTGCAAATTTGTATTTTTGATAAAAAATGAATTGGCTTGTAAAATGGAAACAGATTGACATATTGAAATTTATTTTACAAAAGTAAAGTTTGCAGATGTTCCTGACCCAGTTGACTCAATGTTTTCAAATTTTACATTTTTAAAGGAGAAGTCTAATCGAGCTGATGAATGATCAAATGATTCAAATAATGAAATCATTTTGAATCTAGGCCAAGTTCTTTTTGAGATAATTGCAGCTTGATTACTATAGTGCCACCTTGAGTTCAATAAGTGTTATGAGTAGTGGGTGGAATCTGCAATCCACCTGCCAGTTTTTCTAGGTTTTACAGTTTTTGCTGAATGAGCACTGTTAGAGGAGAACAGAAGAAGAAGAAGAAGAAG